TTTTTTTTTCAGTTAGGAATGTCTGAAGTAGTGACTTTATAGTTGAACACATTTTTTTAACAGTTGTACCAGCGGATGTAGAATCACCTCACATTCTATTTTTGAATTCTTTTTAGATGTAATTACTTTGGTGGTGCAATCAATAATAATTTTAATTACTTGTATTATGTAGATACACAATGTGTGCCTTACAAATGTTGAATCTGTAGCGGTCCAGTTTAATATTTAAGATTTTTATTAATATAATAAAAATATTTAGAAATTTAGAATTAGATTTAATTGTAATATTAAGATTTGTTTATATCTGAACGTAACCATAGCTGAATACGACAATAGCCAACTTCATTCCAGCTTTTAGTATTTTTGATACATTGCACTAGAACCTCTTATTAGAGTAAGTACCTACTTAAGTTTTGCTACAGTCAGCCTATACTAATTACTTTGTTCAATAGCTGATTTGATTTAATCTGTTTATAATCGTTTTCTATGTATTTGTATGTAAGTAACTTGTAACAATCTGTTATTTATACTGGGTTCTATACTCAGACCAGAAAAGCGTCTATTATTTTGCTCAATCCTGATCATTGAGATGCTTTAAATCCTCTATCAGAAAAGTTTTCGTGTACTCGATAGTCGATACTGATAAAATTCTTATGTTTGCTCTGCTTGTATAGGTCCCACCCATCGAATTTAACAATATGGTTTATGTTATAAGCTAACGCAGAATAATATGTCAAGTTCATGAATCTCTTATCATGAATTTTTTAATTTGGATATTGTACTTGGAATATTGAGCGGGCAAGCGATGATCGATGGCTTAAGCACTAAATTTGCGTGGTATTTTTAGAAGAACAAGATATTATTAATAGATTGATGCGTTGCAAAATCAATAATAGTAGAATCATTCAAACTCTCAATGTGGAATGAGCTTGGAGGCTGGAGCATTCACATTCGTGCGCGACATAATCGTTATTGGGAGGTTAGAATGTAGATTCGCTAAGTCGTGATACCTCAATTATTCCAAAATAAACACGTCTTCAAAATGCTCAGCGGCTTTGTGTGCTGCGTGATTTTTGGCCGATCGGTCTGAGGCAATCTCATAACTGGGGCGACAGAAAGCTCATTCGTGTGCAGGTATCAAATGATATCGTACAAATCAATCTGTTAACTTGTTATCGAATTCCACACTTCCGCTCCGTATCAGTTCCAGCCAGTTTCTACAGGAGACTGTCCTGCTTGATTCGAATTTACGCCTGAAAAACGTCCCAAATTTGCGCTTTCTTTTCCACCCGAGCATCGCCGTGATAATCGACTTTTAGAAGCCCAGAAAAAACGTCTTCTCCCTGAAGAATTTTTGTCTGTGGACAGAGAGATTGTTGTTGAAGGCGAGAGAAGGAGCAAGAAGATGAAGCGCACTTTGCAGACCGTTCAAAGAGGCGAAATTGAAACAGTGACCGTGATATCATCTGAACAAGAACCCATCCTTAATTTACCGGACCTGCTCATGAAATTGTATGAATGGGATTGTGAAATTCACCTCCACTTGTTAGATACTTTTTTCCGCGGCAGCTGTGACGGTACTAATGATTCCATAAGGTTGGAAGTTTTCCTGCACCGAGAATTTGGGTACGTGGAATTAGTTTGCCAGCATGTCATACGTGTTCCACATTACACCTGTCTTGACAAATTCTTTATACACTAACTGTTGAGTGCTCCTCTCTTATCTCTGATCATCGGTAGTTGCTTTTTGAAAATAATGAACATTTATCTTGCAGGGAGCGCCTAGCATCGTTCTACGGTCATCTCACATACGCCGCTTGGACTAAGTTCCATGTTGTTGGCCTACCAAAGCTTGGGCTGCATCTCCAGTCTGGAGCTGGCGTGACTGATGTCAACAAGATCCTGAGCGACAACTGCGGTGCTGAGACTAACACTGAGCCAAGTAGGTGTTATGCTAGACTGATTTGCTTACATTCGTTGTATTTTTTGTGAACTATCGATTGCCAAGATTAAGTTGCTTACATTAGTTGTATTTTTTGTAAACTATCGATTGCCGTGCAGTTTATAACCCTCTGATCATTTCATTCAATTAGTTCAACATTTTTATGGGAAATTGGTTAAAAAATTTACGATTTCGGATAAAAAAAATTGCGGCGAAAAAATGTGAACACTCAAATGCTGTTTGAGTATATAATTGATTCCACATTTGATGGTCTATCAATCTAATATTGTTGCCCGTGATTTGGCTAAACAAACCGGGCGTTTTAAATATAAAAAATAGTTCAAGGCCTCGGTATAAAAAAAGGCATTTTTGTTGTCTGTTAGTTTGTTTGGAATTATGGATTTTAACATCGTAATACTTTTTTTTTACCACAACATTATAATTATCTTCAAACAACTGCAATCTTAGATATTTGAAGACAGAATGTAGGACACTAATGATTGACAATTATTGAACTGCTACACAACGCTAGGACATCGAATGTCTTACATTATTTAGAAATTTGAATTATGCTATTGTGACAAATATCTGGGTTGCAGTAAAATGAACGTTGTAGAGGTCTTGAATTAAACGGTATTTTATTGTTAGGTACCGGTATAGGCTTTTATTTAATAAATGTGTTGTCAAGTTAGGTTGAGTGTGAAAAGGTTTGAATTGTAGAATTGTAAGAATGTTTTAGAGAGTACTGAAACTGTGCTAGGAAATTGCGGATGGGAAAAAAGCGGCATTAGGAACGTGGTCGTGAAAGCAACATAAATGGTGGTTCGTAAAGGATTGTCCCTTGGATTGAAGTTAAGGGGAGCGTCTGGGGTAAAATCGAAAATTTTCACTTTTTTCGTTTTTGGGCTCGTTTTAAAGCTTACTTTCTGACGCATCGAACGGTACTAAAGCCATCTCTGTACGTTGATTTATGCGTTTTGCAGCTACATCAATCCTACATCCTACAGTTTTGCAGCTACATCAATGAGTCATATAC